TATTATAGCAATATGAAGCAAGCAAATACAAAAAGAAAAAAAATACATTCATGAATGCATAAAATCCCATTTAATATTATCGATCAGTATAGCCATGAGCCAAATGTTACGTGAACGGACAGTCGTCGCCACAGTTGGAAATGAACTTAATAAAATTTTAAGTCTTTAATGCCTTAACGATGTCCGCCGTACGCTCGTCGCGAAACGGGCTATTATCGAGCGGCTTAAAAATAGCACCCGCGGTGGATCTCAGTATTTACAATGCTAACCGAGAACTTCGTTAATCGCACTTGTTAAGCGGTTATTCCGTTCCGCCGTATTTGCTTCATATAAAAGTTCTTATGCGTCTTAGTACTAGCTGAAATGCGGCACACTCCAAGATGAAATCGCATTTAATAGTTTCAGTTTTATTTTAATGAATTAATTAATTAATAATTAGCTTAAGCCTTAGAATAAATAACTTTGAGATTATAGCTGAAATACAACGTTCAAAGAACAAAATATTTCCAAAAGGGATCTGAGATCAAAGCCTCGACTCGTGGCAGAAGATAGCCCCAAGTCAAAAAACAGAAAAGGCCAAAATGTTGAATGTCACGATTTTTTTTATTTAAGTATAGTCATGATAACTCGAGATAATTACGACACGAAAAATATTCATGAGACTATTCACTTCTACTCTGACTTGATTGTTTTCAATATTAATGTTTACTTATAAATTTGGCCCACGAAGAGATTTTATATGTTTTTTTACGTGCAAATGTGTATTGACAAGCAAGCGTGCGGCTATCCTGATGTTAAGTGATTAACGCCACCCGTCGACATCTACAACAGTAGGCCCCGATCTCCTCAATGACCAGAAGAAATTCACACGTATTATAAATACTTTTACTCTACGTTGGTCTTTTGCGATGTAATGTAACTTTCACAGACGAGTCTTTCCAATCTGCGACAGGAAAAGCTGTTGCATGGCCATACCACAGGGAATGTGTTAAAAATCAATTTATATGTTTGAACACATAATTATGTACACTACTAACTTAATAACGCGATTAATCCGTAAAAAATAGTTTCATTTATCTTATCCTTTAAACGAGCAATTCTTGTATATATATATATAATCGGAATCTCGGAAACGGCTCCAGCGATTTTCATGAAATTTAGTATGTGCGTAGATTCGGGGGCGAAAAATCGATCTAGCTAGGTTTCATTTTTAGAAAATGTCCTTTTATCCCTGTTTTCAGGGAATGAAAAATATAATTCGAATATGACGGTAAATTTCGCCGCAAGAGAAAATGTCATAATAGCTCGGTCGGTAATCGGGCGGCCCCAAAACAGACGGCCGTGGTTCGCGTCACGATCATTTACACATTTATTTTTTTACTTTTTTTTCGATTCCAGATCATTGCTTTCTTTATTTTTAATTTTTTGTCGATTTGTTATTTTGTTATTTTATTCCCTTTTTTTTAAAGTTCTTTCTTTTGTGAAAAACATCAGTTCATAATTTCTTATTATTACGTCGGTAAGATCGAAAAATATTATGCATATTTCATTACTCAGTAATTTGTATCTAAATGTAATTTCCAAAATACACGATTTACCAAAAAAAAAAAACAAACCAAGCAAAGCTCGGTCCTCCGGGTACTAATGTGTAATCGCGTAAGTACAAGAAATTATTAACTTTTGTTATTGCATTCAATAATTTAACTACAATGTAAGATCGAATAGAACACATAAAAATGTGGTTTTATTGATAGTTTGTAAGACAAGTGTTTCGCTATGAAAACTGAAAAAAAAGTTTCGGCGGGAAATAAATAAAACTTTTCTGACTTTTTTTTTAATGTGAAAAGTTGCCATACGAGCAGAGGGTTCACCTGATGTTAAGTGAATATCGCCGCCCATGGACATCTGCTACACCCGAGGGTTGCAGATGCGTTGACAACCTTTTGAAAATTGGGCTCCAGCCACCACACTCACCAGACGAAACGCGAAAGCAATCTACTTTACGCCGGTCTTCTGTGAGGTGTGTACTTACCCGGACGAGCCTGCCCATTCGTGCAACCGTACGTGGCCCTACCACCGTACAACTGACTAATTCCTATACATCGTTCTTATGTCCCAAACTAAGCAACGCATGTACTATGGGTACTAAATAACTGATACACATACTTGTTAATCCATTCTTTTCCAAAATATAACAGCACTACGAAACGTCTACTAAAAATGTGAAATATATGTATAATATTATAACTATAGTACATATCGCTGTAAAAGTTAAATTGTACTATAAAATATAACCACTAGCTACTCTTACTCTAGATTATTTATTGAAAGTTGTCTCACACGATACAACTTTCAATAAATAATCTTCTTTTAACAATTCATATGACCAATATTTACCAATATTCGTATTATAATTAACATAATCAAAAGTTAAAAAGGTGAAAGATTAAAAACTATCATAGAATATTCGCAAATAAAAGCGAACGAATCGACATCATCACTGTTATGAATTAATGATTCAATAGAAATGTAGAAATCGCCTTCACAAAATCCGTATAATAGATTAGAGCTTGTTATTTACGTTAGTTTCTAACTGTGTATCGCCATTGGAATCGGATCGATAAAAATTCCTAAACACAAAGAATAAATTTCGCGTGTCGTGATTAATTGAATCGTGCGATAACGACATCCGGCCGATGAACGATGTGCGAACTTTCCCGTAAAGTTTTGATTCTCACACAATTGTGTAACATAAAAAGAGCTAAATTACTTAGTGTTCATGGACACGAAAGTATTTAGCAGTTCCTTCGTTTCGTAGATCTTTTGTCTTTCTCTAACTTCTTTAATGTTTTAGATAACATATTGAGGTTTATTTGTTTATCTCTACACATAAAACTAATGTGGATAAATAAATAAACTTTTTCGGAAACGTTTTTACACAACGTCCTCCAAACTAAGAAACGCTTGTACTCTGGTACTAGAAAATTGATAAACAAATTTAAACATGCTTTTCTTTTGTAAATAATTACACATTATACATATATAAACACCCAGACACTGGAAACACACTAAACATTGATCACACAATATTTTTCAAGTAGTGGGGATCCAACCCGCACCCTCTGGCGTAAGAGTCTGGTTCACTACTCCTCACGCCTGTCGGGTTCTCGAAATCATGATTTATTCAGTGTTCCTACCAAAACTCTTTTTTTTTTTTGGTAAATCTAATTATAATTGTCGCAACACAAATTGGTACGGCCTTAAATAAACACGCGTCATTTGATGTTATCCTTTGTGTAGAATGATTTTAATAGAGTGGGACGTGTTTATAGAAGCCGGTGCGTATTTAATAAAACCATTTATTCTCAAACCAAGAAGAGGAGTTTGTTTGTTTACTAAAATATAGTACGAGGTGTATTATATACAAATTTAATTCTTATGAAAATATTAACAAAAGACACGACCGAAGCTTTCTCTTAGAATGTCAGATAAAATTTGTTCCAAGTTAGAAGGTTACGTATACGTGTTAAACCGATTAAAACAAGCGCTGCTCTTTGTGCCTATCGCGGATATGTTTCCTCCATTTTGCGTTATGGAATAATTATATGGGGTAATTCTGTCGATTTAATCAGAGCTTTCAGAGCGCAAAAAAATGTATCAGATCTATAAGTGGCGCAGAATACTTAGACAGTTGTGTACCACTATTTAAAAAACACCATATTCTGCCGCTACCTTGTTTATACATTTTCGAAATTTGCATATTTGCTCATAAATATCCGGCCCTCTTTAAAAGTAATTTAGAAATAAACAATCGAAATAGTAGATTCTCGAAGAAACTACACATGCCTCCCCATCGTACCGGTAACGTAAGGTTCAGCAAAAACTGTTATTGTGGCCATTAGAATATATAATAAATTACCAAATAGATTAAAAACTTTGAATTTAAAATTGTTTAAGCGAAATCTGTTTAACTTTTTGATAAGTAAATGTTACTATTCCACAGGGGATTATTTAAATGATAACATTTTATAAAAACAGTTTTCCTAGATTATATTTAACTTTTGTTTTGTTTTTTTTTTTTGTATGTTTATAATGTAAAATGAAATATTTGTACACCAGAAATTGTAGAACATAAAAGATCCACAGCTTTTAAGACCTATATTGTACTATGTTCTAACAAATAAACGTATCATTCTTTCTTTCAGAATAACATTCCGATCCAAATTACTTATATAATTTTGAGAAATAAATGACTTCTCTTTCATTACTTTTATGCCTTTAAGAGACGCGTTACATGATTATCTCGCAATACGCAGTTGAATAAGTATAATTGTGCAATATCAAAACTTCAAGTTGCCGTTTCCTTGGCCTCTCAGTTTGACCTCAATGCGTACTATGAATGTCTATGGAAAAATAGGAAATATGACCTTTTGTGTGATAGCAAATCACCAACGGAATTTAACGATAATGAATCTTAATGTATATTTATGACATCTACATTTTGTGTTAAACCTAGTAATCCGGCATGTTATTTACGTTACTATTAGTAAAGCTTACTTGAACTCAGAACCTCAATTTTGTGAAATCAATAACTATGCCACTATAGCATTAATACCGTTCGAAGACTAAGGCATCTAATTCATAAAATGAAACGCAATCGTATGATACTAAATGCCAAATACTCGTACTATAAGAAATACAATACATAAAAATAACCTATATTTCTAATGTATTCTTAACATTTTAAAATGTTTAAAAACATTTCTTGTTAAGAATTTGATAAACATCAAACGAGTATCAACTACGGAATAATTATTATTCATAACCGGAAATAACGGCGTGTTGATGTATATATTTTTATTTATTATATATACATATAGTTAATTTTATTCTTATATCATAATCAACTTCTTATATATTTGCGCCTTTATGTGTGCTATATATCCGTTCAAAGTTTTAAGTTTAATTAAAAATGTATTATCTTTTGTAGACCTGCTTACCGAACTCCTTGGGTTTTTGCGGCGGACGCCCTTGCCACGTGGCAGCCCACGCCACTCCCACCACCAGGGTTAAGCACAAAATCTTCCCTGCCATGCTCTCTTAGCACTAAGGCGTTGAGATTCCGTTTCGAGATTCCTACAGCTGTGGTGTCACCGGCGGCCGCGACACGATTCAGACTGCCGGTGGCTAATCGGACACTTGTTTTTATTCATCATCGGCCGTTCGTAGACTGGCGACTTTTCAAAACTTATCAGTTGCACGCCGTTGGGAATTGAAAGGATAACGCGTGATATTTTCATAGTAGATGACAATGATCAAACACTAAGGTGTTAAAAAGTACGGTGAATAATTGCTCGGTATTTCGTTTACGATCACTTATCTTTCCTCCATATTTACAGCGAAGATTCACAAACAGACGGGAAGTAATTATTGTCACTCGTTAGACGAAACCGGCGCGTCGCGTTCATTTGAATATCAAAGCGATATCCTTATTGACGGCGGTTTTCATATTTAGCCTGCCACATCAATCATACAAACATGTTAGTGTGAGGAATTGATCATCGCACGTTAAATGTCCAAATCGTTGCGACGGTTAATCAATGTTGCTAACTGCGTGCACAAACAGGAACACGCGTATCTTCAAAAGATGACCTCGTTATATCTAACAGTTGTCGTAGTGGTCATATGGTCGCGGCACGCGAGATAACGGAGTCAATGTCATCGCATACAGGTCGTAGAAAAAACCGGCCAAGTGTGAAACGGACTCGCACACGAAGGGTTCCGTACTATTATCTATAAAAACGGCAAAAAAAACATGTCTGTTTGTTGCACCATTTAAATATTTTCAATCTGTTTTTTTTTTTTTTCAAATCAAATCAAATCATCAAATCTTTTTATTTGTTGGTATAGCGGCAAATGAAATACATTATCTGTGAAAATTTCAACTGTCTTACTGTCACGGTTCAGACAGCGAGTTATGTCCTGCCTGGGTGACCCTAAAGACAGTTTTCGAGACAGCGAAGTATTCTTAGTTATACGGGGTGTGACCCCTTCGCATTTTGCCCATTGGGTACGGAACCCTAAAAACTAACTGTTTAATACGAAACCATCATTATAGTTTGCATTAAAATCGCACAACTTATGGCTGTCATAGTACTTTTTAAATATTATGTAATATATTATTCATTGTAGTATAATATAATATAATATACAACAAACTGCCTGAGGAAATTAAATGATTTAAACGAATGCGAAACGCCTATTAATGAATAAATTGCTAACTACTTAGATTTACAACCTTTGGTTTGTTACGCGTCTGAGAATGATGTATGTATGAAACATATATTTGAGATATCTTCTAATAATTATGCTTATCACGTTTTAAGTGAACTATTCTCTTCTTTAATCTGATCATTATTATTCAACCTGATTTACTCAATCTTTAAAATGATTACTAAGCGTGAATTAAGGTATTACATATTCAATATTATTTTGCCTACGCTACACATTATTAAATGGAACGAATTGTGTGAAATTCAATTTATGCGAAACGATGGTAATTGTTAATGGTAATTTAAAAGAAACACGATAAAGTCATTCAAATGGATACTTTTAATGAAACAGTTTTACGAGTTTAATTTAACTTGTGAATTTAACTTTAAATTTGACATTACAATGCACACGTCTGCTATTCGGTTATACTCGTATAAGTGTATTTTGTTATAAGAACCATCTTAATTTTTGTAACAGCGTTGCAACGCACCGTATGCGCCGATCCTTACGAAGGACGCGGCGGTCGTTGGAATTTTGTCATGGGATTTACATGTGATTCATCATACCCGATGTAAACAGCGTTTTTTTATGTCCTTCTCATTTGTGTGGACGTTAGATCCGCGTGCTAACTTCCAAGGAATTCATTTCGTAAATTCCTTGGCCATTCCTCTCATAGGTGATTCACCTCGCCTTTGAGTGCTTGGTAATTGTTTAGCGCATCAAACGGCGTATCATCTAAATTTGGATAACCGTGTTTACGAGTGACGTTTGATGATGTGAGATGTCCAAAATACGCGAAGGTATTTGTCGTGGCTTTCATGGCAGCAAATTTTCTAGTTAAATCAACTGTAAAGAATGATTGATTTAACTGTGGTAGGACCACGCAACAGTGTTCTACTGTTGCTCGACGGAACAATATCACGCCAAATGTCACCACATAACTATGACTATAAAGTAGGACAAAACAAAATAGTTCACGTCAAAAATAGTATAGTTAGTAATAATTACTGAAATTAAATTATGAATAATATAACATATGTATAATTATGTCGTACGTAAATATTTAGAGACACCAAAAGGAGGTATCCAAGGAAAATGAATACGCTACAACAACAAAATCAGGATGACAATAAGAAAATCCAAAAATGTAATTAAGTCACGCGAGGTCCAAAGGTGTGAAACAAAGCCAAAAAGGGTAGGAACGTCGCCAATCGCTAAGCAACCGGATCTGAGGCGGCTATGCGGATTTTGTAGTTGCGGTCACCGATGCACACCACTTTATATATACATATACAGATAATGGCAGATGTGTCTGTTTGTAATATTAAAATAACCGCGAACAGCCGCGTTTTTACGAAATGCATATAATCGTCAGAAAGGAATGTGTTGTAAATTTGTAAAAACTCACGCTTAAGGAGCCATTCCTGAAGTACACATTTGAAAAGTGACTATAAAGATAGCAAAAAGTTTAAGGAAAATCGCTCACGTTATAAATCACTTATCGCACTTATTACAACCGCAATGAGTGCCTTGGATTCTTGTAAATAGGTTAATAAAGCTTTACGATGTAATACCTTTGTTTTGTCGCCTATTAGAAAAACACAGGAAACGGGGGATACCTAATATTTCATTTCATGTTGCCAACTGGGTGTACTCAGGCCGTTTTCTCAACACCGCTACGGTATTCGTGATTCATCATCGTTCGCCAAACGAAATGTTTGTAGTGAATCACTAGATAACAAAAAAACGCATGTTATATAACTGATTGAACTTAATAGCCCATTTCATTGGGGTTCTATGCGCTTTTACTAAAACAAATACCTATATAAAATAGGATTTGTTCTCCAACAAAAGCACGCAATGGCTTTTACGTTAACCTTTTGTGCTTATGTGTTGTTTTGTATTATAAGTTAATTAAAACAACAGACATTTTTAATTATTAAGCAAGAATAGAATTTCTATCGATATTTCTCACCATTTTGAGCACGCTTAAATTAGTTTCGCTTATAATTAACTTACTCGTTCGTAAAGAAGCAATAGTCTATATTTTATGCATACGAACTACATGAAATTTAATTATAATTAATTATATTATTAATTGTATTGTGTACAAATGTGTCCTAAATATTTATTTATTTATTTTTTTACATACACATTTAATTCAAATTTTAACGTTTTAATTAAACAATAGTTCCAAAAAAACGATTTAAAGTCCCAAAAGTTCGCAACGAAGACTTTCGTAGCCGAAAAAAGATAACCGACATAGCTCAGAAGTTTAGTAAGCTGGTGTTGGGCCAGTCATATCCCTCGAGGAAGAAAGGTCATCGCATTTTTGGGTCTAACAAAAATAAAAAAAATAAAACAATATTTATTCATCGACATAAGAAGAATACATTTAACTTAAATTTTATCCACAGTATTTTTTTTAAATAGCTTGAGAGCGATTAACTCATTCCCCCACTACATGGAGTGCTGAGCTATGCAGGAAGTCGTTGGATGCAGGTGATAATAATTATAAAAACACGCATTAGATAGAGCTATTGAATAGAGCTGTGTCCGGGCGCTCGCCTTAATTCAATATACTCGAGCAACCTGAGTTCGATCCCCGGCCGGCATTCGTGCAACAGCCGAGGCTGCTCAGTGGCCCTACCGCAGTTAAACGTTATTTAAATTAATTGATATTAGGTTTAAATTGGTGTTATTAACACATTTTACAATATTTTATGGTACTTTTACTACGTACGAGTTATGAGGTTAATATATATGTCGTGGACTTGTGTTGTCGATCATACACGGCATAGCTTTACTACATCTGGTTCATATAATCATCTAAGAAATTATACCACTTAAACATAAGCGCGCCAGAGCTATTCGAATTTGTGTTTCGTGAGTGACTCAAAGGGTTCTCAAAGCTTGGTAACGCAAATTGCAACTTAACCAATGCAGCAGATATCACTTACGACTGTGGTAGAACAAGGCATCAGTCCACGCTGTTGCACGAATGGGCAGGTCCGTCCGGGTAAGTACCACGACCTCACTGAAGACCGGCGTCAAGTGGAAGTGTTATACTTCTGCATTTCGTCTAGTGAGGCCTACCTATTGTTAGACGGTTGTTATCTGCAACCCTATGGGTGTTGCAAGTATCAATAAGTGATGATTATCACTTAACATCAGGTGAACCGCCAGCTCGTTTGTCACCTTTTCACATAAAAAAACAGGATCGAGAGGTGGTATCACCATATCTAAATAAAGGTGAAAAAACTCAATTTTCAATTGAACTGGACTATTATTAACATCTATTCTGAATTCGTATTTGAAGTTTTGCTTACAAATGGATATGTCTTAATAAGACCGGAGAGTAAATAGTAACATTAAATTTAAGTATTTTTGTTAATGATTCGAAATTAAAAACGTGTAACCCTAATGCTAGAAATGCTTAGAAATGTCATTAACTCTTTATATCAGGCATTCCAAAATGGAATCCGAGCAATAAATCTTCGCCATCATTTATGCAAATTGAGAAAAACACAAAAAAGGTGGCGCCTAAATCTCTTACATAAGTATGCGAGTATGCGATACACCGGATCTTTGCGGAATGAGAAATAGAAAAAACGGCATTTTAATGAGCTTTTCTGGCGCCAAATACAAAAGAGTAGATGTAAACAAATTACGTTTTCATAGACGGAGACAATGTTTTTGTATGCATAAAATGTCAACCGAAGAAAAAATTGTGCACGGTCAATTTTGTCCATCTATCGTCCTCTTCTTGAAACTTATCAGATCTAAACCAAATTATGCAAGAACTACAAAATAGCAAATAA